AAAGAAAGAAAGAAAGAAAGAAAGAAAGAGGGAGGGAGGGAGGAAGGAAAGAAAAAGGAAGGGAGAAGAGAAAGAAAGGGGAATGAAGAAAGGAAGAGAAAGAGAAAGGAAGGAAGAGCAAGATAAAGAGAAAAAAGAAAAAGAAAGAAAAGAAAGCAGAATTAGTAGACAAAGAGCTGCTGCAGGCTAAAGCAGCATCATTATCAGTGCTGTCTATGAAAGCTAAAAGGGTGACATGAAGAGTTTGACTTCATTGGAAATATGTAGTTAGCCTGCTAGAAAAAAATAGCAGGAGATCAAAGTTTACAAAAGTACAGGACAATGTTATAAAGATTGATTTCCATGCTATGAAGCTTCTGATTTGTTAGCTTTAAAGAGTTAACCTGGAAAAAAGTGAAAATAATGAAAACTTAATGTATAATGGAGCAGAATAAAAATAGAAAAGGAAATTAAATAGCAAAGGACTAAACTTGGGAAAAAAGATGCAAATTTTAAAATGGGATGGTAATAAGAATGCCCTTGCAGAAACATCAGTTAATATATAAATAATGTTTATTAAGCACTTATTGCACACTTGCAATGTACTAAATGCATTACCTAGATTAGCACAGTAAATTTTCATATTGACTCTCCATTATTATTGTCATTTTTAATGTACAGTTGTGTATATGCACAGATATATATATATATATATATATATATATATATTCATTGCTGATGGCTTCATAGATTCTGTATGTAAAAGAAATGATACTAAAATGAACATGGGAGTGAAGACGTTTCTTCAAAGTACTGATTTCATTTCTTTTAGAGATATATCCACAGTAGGAATATTGAAACATGTGGTGGTTCTATTTTTAATTTTTAGGAACCACAATCCACGTTTTGCAATGTGGCACTAATTTATATTCCGTCCAATAAGACAGAAAAAATTCCATTTCTCTACATCTTCACCAGCACTTGTTTTCTTTTGAATTGTTATAAAAGGCCTTCTTAGTGGTATGAGTAATATTTCATAGTGGTTTATAATTTGCATTTCCTTGGTTATTAATGATACCAGCACCTCTCCACACACTTCTTATCTGCCATCTAAATTTCTCTATCACCTTATCAACATCACCACATGTGAACATATCTCAAAGATACCATCTCTTTTCAGAACTGGACTGTTTGCTAACATCTCTTTCACTATCAATACTTTTCTTTAGAGTAATGCATAAATGTTATAATACCAAGTTTCTACATCTTCCTTGCTTGAGAAATATCAAATATTTAACATCTTCAAGCTAAATGCCTTTTAAATAAAGTGAGACCCACGTTTTTAGACAACACGTGATATTTTACTTACCAGGCAATTTACTTACCAGGCAAAATAATAACAATAATTCCTTCAAGGACTGAATCATGAACACTTCAAACCACATGGAGCTGATAATCCAAACCAGAAGGTTTCATAATTCTCTTTTCATTTTTATTCTTCCCACGTATCTTTAAAGTCAGTTAAATCCTTCTAGATTTCAGCAGCCTTGAGGCAACTATCCAAGTCCCTAAGCTAAAATTTATTTACCTGAGAAGGGTCATGGGCCCAGCTGAGTCAACCTTTGGGGGATTTGATTCTCTGTTCTGGTGCTCTGCTCTCGTCTTGGATAATTAAGAGGTGACTAAATGGCCCACGTAAATGGAAATATTTAAAGAGAGGCTGGTTGCCCACTTGTTTTCACAACATCTGGGAAGGATTTGAATAAAATCACTGGCCCCTAAACGATGCTTCAAGGACAAATGCAATGCTGACTATATCAGAATCATGTGGGAAGCCTTTTTAAAAACAAATTTCTGGCCTTACCTAAAACATGTTAAATCAAAATCTCTGGAGGAAACACCTGGAAAGCTGTATTTTTTGTTGTTATTTTTAAAGAAAAAGTCTTCCTTACATGGATCTGAATATCTGCTAAGTTCATGAAACAGTGGTGGAAATCAGATTTTCCAAAATCTCAACTGAGTTTAACTGTTAAAAATGCACATTTTGATTTTGCAAGTCCTGAGGGAAGAGCTGAGATTCTTCTGAATATCTAAGAGGCTCCCATATTTGTTGGTTCAGACATTTTTAGTAACAAAATGCTAGATTATTTTTTCAAGTTCCTTCTAGTTTCATTTTTCTGCATCTTGTGAAACAGTGGTTCTCAACCTTCCTAGTGCTGAGACCCTTTCATACAGTTTCTCATGTTGTGATGACCCCCAGACATAAAATTATTTTCATCACTACTTCATAACTATAATTTTCTACTGTTATGAACCATAATGTAAATATCTGTGTTTCCCAGTGGTCTTAGGTGAACCTTGTCACTGGGTCATTTGACCCACAAAAGTGTCATAACTCAGAGAATGAGAACCATTGTGATAGAATCTGTAGCATATTTACTCTCACTCTAATTCTTTTAAAAGTAATGCATTTTATACATAGGTCTTATTTTCTTATTTTACCTATATACAATAATATTTGATTGTATCTATATCTGACTTCATCCCATCTTCTCTAGACCTTCTCGATGGGTCTCCTTCCCAACTTTATATCCTCTTATGTTTTTTTTTTAAATAAATAACTCATTGAGTCCATTGAGAACTGATCATATGTGCATGTGTATGGGACTATCCACTTGGCGATGAGCAACCTATCACCCCCAAAGAAAAATTTGGCTACACCCCTAAAGAAAAATTATTCTCTTCCCCCTAAGTGGCCATCAACTACCAATAACTCCTCATCTAGGGATAAAACCTTCTGAGCTCCTCCCCTATTCATACTGGAATTCTGACAGGATTAATCTTGTTCAGGTAAACTAAGGTACCCCTAATTTCATGAGTACAAAAAAGAAATTTCAGTCCTGATATAGTGTACCCTCCATATGGGTTATTGGTAAGGGAGTTTCCAGAGTGTCCCAATAAAATAACTCAGGCTATTACCATTGCTTTATTATATATTATTATACCATTGCTTTATTACCACTAGTTGCCCATTCTAATTAGACTGTGGAATCCTATTGCAGAAGATACCACATACTTTGGCTGTAAGACATAGAAGAATGTTTTTAATTTTCTTTTAGTTTTCTCTAACACATTATATCCCCACCACAGTTTCCCCTTCCCCCACTCTTCCCCATACTCCCTTCACCTCTCTTCTTTCCCATATCCACTCTTCCTCTGTTTCCATTCAAAAAATACAAAGAGCAGGCAGGCTGGAGAGATGGCTCAGAGGTTAAAAGCACTGGCTGTTCTTCCAGAGGTCCTGAATCCAGTTCCCAGGAACCACATGGTGGCTCGCGACCATGTACAATGAGATCTCGTACCCTTTTCTGACCTGCAGGCATATACACAGGTAGAACAGTGGATACATAATAAATAAATAGATTTTTTGAGAGAGAGAGGGAAAGAGAGAGAGAGAGCAAGCTTCCCAGGGACATCAACTGAACATGGCATAACAAGTTAAAATAAGACTAAGAATGTGGGTAACTGTTGTATGGCTGAGGTAGACTGCAGGGCCACTATCATTGGGACCAGGATTTATCCCTAGAGCTTGTACTGGCTTTTTGGAATTCATTCTCTTTGGAGGGATACCTTGCTCAGCATAGATATAGGTGGGAGAGCCTTGATCCTTCCTCAAAGCAATGTGCCTTACCTTCTCTGAAGAATGGATAGGGGAGAAGATAAAGGGAGCAGGATAAGGGCAGGGAATGGAAACTGAGATTGTTATGTAAAATGAAAAAAAAATAGAGTTTTTAATAATAAAAAGTTAAAAAATGACTAAGCACAAACCTTCATAATAAGGCTAAACAAGGTAACCCAGTAGGAGGAAAATGGTCTTAAGATCGGAAAAAAGAGTCAGAGACATCCACTGCTCCCATTGTTAGGAATCCCACAAGAACACCAAGCTACACAACCATAACATATATGAAGAAGACTTAGCTCAGACCCATGCAGGTTCAGAGATTGTCACTTCAGACTCTATGATCCCCTATGAGGCCTGCTTAGTTAATTTTGTGGTCTGTGTTCTCTTAATGCCCTCCATCCCACCCCACCTCCCCATCCCAGCTCCTACAATCTGGTCTCCCCTCTCTTTTACAGGGTTCCCTTGGCTCTGTCTAGTATTTGGCCGTGGGTCTCTATCTGCTTCCATCAGTTGCTGGAGGAAGCCTCTCTGATGGCAATTGGGCTAGGCACTGATCCTATGAGTATAGCAGAATATCATTAGGAATCATTTCATTGGATTTTTTCCTCCAGTCATGTTCCGTTCTACCCTGTGTCTCTGGGCTAACCAGCCCCTGGTTCCTACTCATCCAGATAGTGTCAGACATGGGCTCCCTCTTGTGGTATGGGCCTCAACTTGGACCAGTCATTGGCTGACCACTCGCACAAGCTCTGCACCATTACCCCAGCACATCTTGTGGGCAAGAAAGATTTTAAGTCTAAGATTTTGTGTCTGGGTTAATGTTGCAGCCCCACTGCTGGGAGCCTTGTCTAGCTATAGAAGATGGCTGGTTCAGTTTTCATATCCTTTATTACTAGGAGTCTACACTACGGTCACTCAAGGATTCCAAGTAGTTTCAAATCACCCCCAAGTGCTTCCTCCCCCACATTCCAGTTGTCTGTCTCAGCATTCTCTTCCTTCATCCCTCTCCCCCTGCCCCTCCAGTTCTCATCCCCACCTGCCCCAATCCACTTACAAAATCTATTCTGTTTTCTCTTCCCTGAGAGATCCATGTACCCCTTCCTGAGCCCTCCTTGTTACTTGGCCTCTCTGAGTTTCTGGATTGTCGCATGGTTATTGTTTACTTTACAGCTAATGTTCACTTAAAAGTGAGTATATACCATATTTGTCTTTCTGGAGCTGGATTATCTTACTTAGGATGATTTTTTTTCTAGTATGATTCATAGACCTGCAAATTTTATGTTGCCATTTTTTTTTAACTCTCGGGTGAATGTACCACATTTTTCTGTCTATTTTTCAGTTGAGGGACATTTGGATTGTTTCCAGTTTCTGGCTATTATGAATAAATCTTCTGTGAACATAGGTGAGCAAGTATCCTTGTGGTAGGTTGGAACATCCTCTGTGTATATGCCCAATGGTGGTATAGCTGGGTCTTAGGTAGATCAATTGTAAATTTTCTAAGAAACCACAATATTGATTTCGATAGTGATTGTACAAATTTGCACTCTCACCAGCAATGGAGGAGTCCTCCTGGATAGGCAGCTTTCATTGTGTCAGGTGATATTATGTAGGCCTCTGGAGGAAAAAAGACATCAATGGTCTTCTCCTGTACTAGACACTCTATGCTGTAATACTAACCTGACCAAAAAGATGCGCCCACTGATGCAATATTTGCACAAATGTTAAGGAGATAAACAAGTACATTCTGGTTGTGTTTGAAGCCTGTTCCACAGGAGAAAATTCATGACTGATATGGTGAACCTTACCAAAAGCCTCTGACTATGAACACACTAGAGATGAATCTAGTGTGTTGTTTTGCTAAATGATCATGTTATCAAAATGCCTTCTAAATATTTGTTTATACCCACAGATCTGTGCTGTTCTTAAATCTTTTTTTTTGTAATGGGAAGCAATTAATGCAGAGCCCCATAATTGTCCAAAATACTAAGAATAAGTGACTGTGACTTCTCATCCCTAAGTAAGATATCTATATCACCCCCACATAGTGAGGCTCAGGGGATATCATTGAAAGAGATATTAAAGAATGTAAGACCTAGAGTATGGGGAGTATGTTTTACAAACATTGTCTTTTGGACATAGCATGGCCATCAAATGCAGGGTTTTTCTCATGTAAAAATACCATATATAATGGGCTTATTTTCTTTTATTTACAGGTTTGGTTTTTTTTCCCTTTCTCTTCTTAAATTTCAATACAGATCTGAAAAGGTCTCAGGAAAAAAAGACCCACCAAAGTTAATCATCTTGCGATAGTGGCAGACACACTCTGCACTGAAGCAAACCTTTCTTCTGTGTGAGGCAGGCTGAAAAAAACTCCCACGAATATCCTTCCAAGCACCTGTAATGATTATCATATGGGAATTCAAGAAGTTGACAGATAACATAGTTCTGAACCAAATGGGAGATATCCAACTGCCGTGATATCCTGGAAGGCCTTACTGAAAAATAAACAAGAAGAGAAAACGTTAACAATTCATGTGTGCTTGCACCCTAGAATTCTGTACTTGTTGTAGACAAATCTAAGGCAAACATACAAGCATTTTTTGAAAAGTTCCCAAATCATATGTAGAGGCTAACAATTGTGGCAAAAAGCTGTTTTATACTCTGTCTTTCTGAGCCATTGACCAGCCATCTTGTAAGAGGTACAGCTGTTACTTATGAATTTAGATTTTGAATGATCATTAGACAAAGACAATTTCTCTAGAAATAATCATGATTGCTAATTATACATGTAACAAGACTGATGGAGACAATACAGATTTTCGGTACTTCATTTATGCAGTAACATACACTGTCATTCTTGTGCCAGGGCTCATAGGGAACATATTAGCCTTGTGGGTATTTTATGGCTATATGAAAGAAACCAAAAGGGCTGTGGTATTTATGATAAATTTAGCTATTGCTGACTTATTGCAAATTCTTTCTCTGCCACTGAGAATCTTTTACTACTTGAACCATGACTGGCCATTTGGTCCTGGCCTCTGCATGTTTTGCTTCTATCTGAAATATGTTAACATGTATGCAAGCATCTACTTCTTGGTCTGCATCAGTGTACGAAGATTTTGGTTTCTCATGTACCCCTTTCGTTTCAATGACGGCAAGCAGAAATATGACTTGTATATCAGCATTGTTGGCTGGTTGATCATCTGTCTTGCCTGCCTACTTTTTCCTCTCCTCAGAACCAATGATGATATCCCAGGTAACAGAACCAAATGCTTTGTGGATCTTCCTACCAGGAATGTCAATTTGGCCCAATCTGTTGCCATGATAACCATTGGAGAACTGGTTGGGTTTGTTACTCCTCTCATGATTGTCCTGTACTGTACGTGGAAAACAGCTTTATCATTACAAAACAAATACCCCATTTCTCAACATCTTGGAGAGAAAAAGAAAGCCTTGAAGATGATTCTGACTTGTGCAGGGGTATTTCTAATTTGCTTTGCACCTTATCACTTCAGCTTTCCTTTAGATTTCCTGGTTAAATCCAATGAAATTAAGAGCTGTGTAGCCAGAAGAGTGATTCTAATATTTCATTCTGTGGCCCTGTGTCTGGCAAGTCTGAATTCCTGCCTTGACCCAATCATATATTATTTCACCACTAATGAGTTCAGAAGACGTCTTTCAAGGCAAGATTTGCCTGATAGCGTCCAACTCCAGACAAAATCATATAAAATTGTGAGTAACCATACCACTTCTACAGTGGCAACTGGACTACGCTAAATAAAACCCAAAACTAAACGTGGCCTAGAATGAAAGTACCAGAACACGGTCACAATATCCCATCAACAAGGCAGTACTCACAAAGAACAGTCCCAACTTTTAAGTGTGTTCTATATTACTTAGATAGAGAATACACAGAACCTATGAGAACATGTTTCATCATTTTGCTTGTGACATGTCTATGCATAATGTATGGCCAAGTCCTTAAGACTTAAGTGATAAAATTTTGATGTCACTCTTCGCACATATGCTCTGAGCTATAGTCATCAGCTTTGTCTGTGAATTCTGTGAACCGAAGTCACAAAGGGATTACTAGCTCAAGCTCCCCTTAAGTACTGAGTTTTCTAACCTCAGATGATGAATTCACCAGAGGGATTGCAAATGTCTATTTGTAGTAGCAAGCCCAGTTTGCATTCCAACAACATTTGGTTATGTTTAAATTAGGATAGACAGTACTTTACATACACATAATACTAAAAAATGGGCTAGTATTTATTTCCAAGGTGTGATTCCATTCCATGATTTGAAAATTCTTATACTTGGTTTCTTTGGTTAGTGTCAGTATGAAATATCATCTCTCACATCTAATCATTGAAAGAAATTATGTAATCAGTCTTTGGTATATTTAAACTAAGAACAACAAAATATTCATGACACACAATAATCCTCCGTGATTGTATAAAATGCTACATTGAATATTCCCAGGGCAGGTAGTTTTCTAGGGACAGCCCATTATGACTCAGATGGCCTCTAGGCTTAAGAGAAAGGAAACAGATGACAATCACAGTTCTGGCTCTCTTAAACTAGTTCCAAAGAACACCTTTGGAAATGTATGAACCTGCCTAGTAGAGGAATATTTTTCACCGTGTTTTAGAATTACATTGAGGAAATCTAACAGGTTACTGCACTTACTGAGCCTATGGAAGAAACAGTGCACCAATTATTCACTAAGCTTGGGCCAGAGTGAAAAGATGAAGCAACGTGAAGTATATCTCTTAAAATAAGCAGTCCTTCTTTCCCCAAGCTAAGTGGTATCTGTCAACATATCTACACAAGTCATAGTAGGGCTTGAAGACATTGGTCGTGTGGACCTTCAAGTCTGCATATTTTTCAGTTATAAAGCCTACACAGATTACCTCTCAGAACCCGTTGAAAGCAATTCTTTCACCTTTTGAAAAAAGTAGACCTCATCCCAGTAGCCTTAGGCACTCCTTACAAAAGATTTGCCTATTACCTACTTGGTAGTATTGAGCAGGAAAAACTGGGGTCTGGAGATGTAAGTACTGGAATGGGCTGAATCATGATATACATTATAAATAAGATTACTTTGAAAAATGTTTGAAGAAGAGAATGGAAAGATAGACACTCTTCTTTACATTAAGAAAAAATGTATAAACCAAGCAAGGATTTTTTTTCTTTTTTTCATATCCAGAATAAAAGGATAGTTTTAGGTATACAGTTAATCATATGTTTGGAGTAAACTGGTTAAATCTTCATGAATTTTAACTCCTAATACTACCAGAAAACTAAAGTTTTGTCTGGCCAAGTGTAGATTATACTTGTACATTTTTATGAAAATGACAGTGAATTAGAAAAAAATGACTTTTGGCTGCTAGCAACAGTATATTTATGTATTTCCTAGTTATTCCTTGTAATGTATATATGTTTTGGTGTATTAAATAAGTGTTAAATTTTGTTTTCAAAAGAAACTGTAAGTGTCTTTGGTCTGTTATAAAGTGATTTCTGTTTGAGTGTAATTTTGTTTGTAACCATTTGTGGAACTACGAAACAACTGTGGGTGCTTGGAATAAAACTCACTCATTATTTCTTTTGGGGGGGTGTCAATCTCCCTTTATTATTTACAGAGCATCTGATATGCCTCCAACCCAATCTAAGTATGCTGTGTTCAGGTGGATAAATCATAGTTCCTTTCCACTAGTTCTCAGCATATCTCTCTCTCTCTCTCTCTCTCTCTCTCTCTCTCTCTCTCTCTCTCTCTCTCTCCTTTTCTTCTGGACTAGGGATTGCTGAGCTGTTGCATGGCTCTTCCTCAGAAAGTGGCTCTTCTTTAATGTATTTCTTTTTATCCTTTTTTTTTCTTCCTTGCAGAGGCTCCTCTTCGACTCCCTGTTCTTCCTCCTCCTCCGTCTCCTCCTCCACTTCCTCCTCTACTTCTACGCTTGCTTTTTTGTAGCATGGATTACAGGATTACACTTCTTTTTTTTAAAAAGATTTATTTATTTATTATGTATACAACATGTATGCCCACACGCTGGAAGAGGGCGCCAGATCTCATTACATACAGATGGTTGTGAGCCACCATATGGTTGCTGGGAATTGAACTCAGGACCTCTGGAAGAGCAGCTGGTGCTCTTAACCACTGAGCCATCTCTCCAGCCCCCCAGGATTACACTTCTTAAAGTCACTTTGGGAGATCACTGTTTGAACTTTTTCTAACATCGATTTCACAATAATCATACTATTTTTTAAAGGGGAGGAAATATTTCTAGTATATTATTGATAATCTTGGAGTGGTTGAGCATATAGCTAATTTGTTAGGCAGTCTTATGCATCCTTTAGGTAGAAGGCACGTGTGTAATGATCTTATATTATTTATCTCCTCAGACATCTGGGTTTGTATTCAGCATCTGGTTTTCCTGTTTCTTCATCTTCCTCATCAATATATTTGAATTTTGCTCTATTCCCTTTCCTTTCTGATCAACTTATTCACAATAAGGTGCTAATTATTAATGTTAACTTCATATTAACTTACCAAGAAATATCTGAAGTTCATACCATAGGAATAGGCATTAACATAAAGTGGTGACAATCAATAAAGAGACTGCAGGCACAGGAAGATGAGCTGCAAGAAAAGACACTTTAAAGAGAGTGTTATAGCAACCCTTTCACATGATGCATTGCAAATGACAGTCTAAATAGAAAAATGGCTTACCATTATGAGGATGCTAAATTCCAAGAAATATCTCCATGAACATGGATATAAATTTTCCAGTATTTTTTTTTTTTTTTGGCTTGAAGTTTATCTCCCCCCCCCCCGCCTTCTTCTAATACCAAACTTAGTTTCCAGGGGGGAAAAATCTAATGTAGGAGAGAAATAGTATTTCAGCTCCTACCGAGCAATTGCCTCTTTTCTGATGTCCCACTCTCCTTGGAAAGACTCTTTTTCAGATCTTTTATTTATAGTTTTGAGCTCTATATGACTGAATACAAAAAGAGTCTTGATTGTGGTAGTGTATAGTTAAAGATAAGTCATCTCATATTTCTTTAATAAAGACTTTAAATTTTAGTTTCAAAATCAAGCAGAGTATTTAAATAAACATTTGAATACAGAATGTTTCGCATGCTATTAATATTGTCTTTATTTTTATTATTTTAATGAAATGTTTTATGTGTTACATATTTTAATTGTCATGCAGTAAAACACCAAATCATATTAACTGGTGGTTCATGAGGTGGAGCTATTTGCCCTGTGAACACCCATGCTCTATAAGGATTCATCTGTGGAACTCCATACAACTTAATTTTTATTCCACCTTTTGGGTTAGCTTCCAAGATACTGTGAAATGTTATATCTGGTGTTTATTTACAGCTCTTATTTATCATATGAATTCTAATAATAAAGATTGTCTCTGTAATTAAATAGAAATTTTCTGACTCTGGATGTCTTGTGTGACCATTTCTTCCAGCAAACTGATGGACTTGCGGACAGCTAGTGGGGTAGTATACATGGACTCATGTTCTTCATGTCTATTTTTACTTTTAACTTACTGGCCTAGTGGATTCCAATCTCAGTGATCAAGATGTCATTCCTCCTGTGTTATACTACCTCAGGCCTCCTCTAAGTCTAACATCATTGAGTCTATTTTAGCAATTTGTTTCTCATTGTGTGTATATCTCTAGACTATTGATGAAGCCTAGGTATATTCCGTAACAACAAAATTGTTATGAATTACATAGTCTTAGGATATGGCACAAGGGGATTTTAAAAAGTGAAATATCTGATGCTTTAGTAGATCTGAAGAAAATAATGGAACTAAAAATACATGAACTGCCTCATGCTTCAAGTACCCTCAAACAACTTTGAAAACTTTCCTGTGACCCTGAGAAACCAAGTAAGAAGTAACTTCATTACCTACAAAACCATATTCTGCTATAGTAATGGTAGGGGAAAGAAAGTGAGAGGTGAACTAGTAAGAAAATGCAGCTGTTTAAGGTTACGTATATCCTCACTCTTTACAGGATGTGGTCTGTGTGGAGGGGGTAGGAGACTATATGTGCAAACTTTCTTGAACTTCACAGACCATATCCTCAACAGAACCTCTTTATTTAATTTTACCAAGACCACATAGTTCCTTATTGCCAACTATATTCATTTCTTCTCACTCTTAACATCTGACCCATCTAAGAGTACAACCCACATTCGAGTTCTGTATACCTTATTGTGCATATTTAAAAAAACTGAATAACTTTTCCATAGGTAGACCTTCTTTAGGGTTGGTCATCCAATCTCAATGTCTGTGTTTTTCTAAGAGTCTTTTGAGTTTGATTTGGGAACAATATGGTATGGCAGAAGTTTTTAGATCTTTGCACGATGTTTCACATCCAAAATTTATAAGATTACTAAGAATATTAAAAGTAAATCAAGTTAAAGGATCAAAAATAAAGTTTGAAAAATTATTGTCCATGTTGTGTGTTTAGCAAGTGTGAACATAAAGTGGTTGTACTATAAATACCCCTTCTGTCTTTGAATAATATTAAAGATATAATGTTAGAAAAGATTACCTGAATCGCATTCCTGTCCACATCATTTTGCCATTCTGTTATGGAGAAATTCAAACATGTTGAAAGAAGAATGGATACAAGAAGCCCCTGTTATTCAGCTTCAAAGGATATCAACACATGACAGATTTATATCACTGATTCTTCTTCCCCGCATTTTGTTTAAAAAAGTTTCAGACATTACAAAATTCCATTTGACAACACTTAAATAATAGTACTACATAAATGAACTAGTTGATGCATTGCAAAAGGTAATTATAGAAACTAATTTTAGATATTTTTTCAGTAAGGATACCAAACACTAGATTCCAACAAGTAAAAATCCATTTTGATGAATCCAAACCAATTCCAATGTATTAACCTGGTTCTGCTTCATTGATGTGAAATCTCTCTATTGCAGAAATGTGATGGAGACTAATGTTGATCCCCGTTCATGTATTCCTGACTCCAAACATATTATAATAATAAAGTGCAATCATCATGGAAATTAATCCAATACTGTGAGAGTAATTGAATGTAAAAATACTTGTGTTGGCAGACTGAATTTCCACATTTTAAGAAAACTGAATATTAGAATTTATTTATGTAGCTATACAGCCTGTAATGTTTTACTGAAACCTATGGCATAGTTTACATGAACTTTTTGATCTATTTTCTTCCTTATAATCTATTCTGATAAAGGAGTATTAAGTATCTGTGATTCAAATATTGTTAATACGTCTGTGGTCTGAACAATACAAAAAATACAGCTTATTCATATAAAAGTTTTAACCAGTATGCTAGCATTTTATGGAGTATTTGGGAATTCAGACTTTTGTCTTATAACATCAATATTTCTTGGATGTTTCTCTAGCCCGAATCATGCCAGATGTTGTTTTTCCACAAAGGAAAATTATTTCTTTTTTGTTATTTGACAGTTCCATACACACTTCCGTTATGAACTTGTGTTATTTTCACCTCGGAGTCCCTTGTTATCCTACAATTCAAGCCAGGACCCTTCTTCTCAACAAGTCCCACTACTTGTCTTCAGAGGTATAGTCACTGACTCATTGTTCTTGCTCTGGTAAATAGCCTCCCACTCATAATTTGGCAAGAAATCCTACGCAGACATTTCTTTTAGAAATTTAACCAAGAGGTCTTCAAGCTAAGACTGCGCTTCAACCTAGGATTGTACATAAGCAAACTATATCCAATGTCCTCCTGCTAGGCACTTTTCATCCAAATAAGGCAAATAGCAATGTTTTAGCTATATTGTATAATGTACTTTGTTTTGCCTCTGTAGCAGCCTATACAATCCAGCTGTTCATACTTCTTGGCAGAGTTCTTCAAGCCTGTCCTGGTTCTGAGTACTTCCCAACTCATGAATCATCTTGTGCTCAATTAACCTCTGTTAAATTTAAGTTGTCTAAAGGTTTTCTTTTAGTGGTTTCTCCTTACATTCATATTATAGATAGCAGAATTAAGACACAGAAAATTGAAAGTAGCTATAAGATAGGGCCTAGCCACACTGATGAATATTTTGCATATCACCATAGAACCTTCATCTGGTGATGGATGGAGATAGAGACAGAGACCCACATTGGAGCACTGGACTGAGCTCCCAAGGTCCAAATGAGGAGCAGAAGGAGGGAGAACATGAGCAAGGAAGTCAAGACCGCAAGGGGTGCGTCCACCCACTGAGATGGTGGGGCTCATCTAATGGGAGCTCACCAAGGCCAGCTGGACTGGGACTGATGAAGCATGTGATCAAATCGGACTCTCTGAATGTGGTTGACAAGGAGGGCTGACTGAGAAGCCAAGGACATTGTCACTGGGTTTTGATTCTCTACTGCAAGTACTGGCTCTGTGGGAGCCTAGTCTGTTTGGATGCACACCTTCCTAGATCTGGATGGAGTGGGGAGGACCTTGGATGTCAGACAGGGCAGGGAACCCTGACTGCTCTTTGGACTGGAGAGGAAGGGGGAGGGGGAAGGGGGACATGGAAGGAGGGGAGGAGGTGGAAATTTTTAATAAAAAAAGAATAAAGTGGTGAATAAAAGTGAACAAGATAAAAAAGAAAAGGAAATTGAAGTATATCTCTTCTTTTAAAGAAAATGGCTGGATTTCGTGAAGGGACTTTTGTGTTCAATTCACTGACTCCCAGCCAGTGACATTGTTTTGTCAAACTTCAAGGGAAGACTCATACTAAGTTAATTTCTTTATATTATGGAAGAGTTATAAACATATGTGGGAAAATACTATGTGTTCCCTTTTATTGGATGGATATCAAGGACACTGAGGTGCTACACACCTTGAGGATATAATTTAAATCACAAATCCCAACTTACTCTTTTATTATAAGTTCATTTTATAAACCCATTACTTCCCTGTAATGGAGTAATGCACAAATTCTCTCGTTCTTTGGGGATATCCAGACCACACAATGGCACCTATAGCTATACCAAAAGAGTAGCATGCTCTAGAAAAATATGGTAATTGTTCCCTGGAAATATATAAAAATAAATGTAAACTGAGTAGATGATAAAAAGATGAGTATGAAGAACAAATTCACTCTTGATTTTTCTATCTATATTTATTTACCTTGTATATTAATCAGAATTCTCTAGAGAAACAGAACTGACACAATAAATACACACACACACATATATTTCACAGGGGATTTGTTTGAGTAGCTTTCAGGAGATGGTCTGCGTGGTTCAAAAATGTCTGTATGAACACTGGTGAGGCAGAGAATTCCACAGCTAGATATTCAGGCAATGAAGCCAAATGCCTCATCAGTCCCAATATTGCACTGAAGGTCTGGAGAAATCCTGGAGAGACACTGATCTTCACTTTGGAAGCCCAAAATAATGTAGTAGTGGCAACAACAACAGTGTAGAAACATTTATCAGCAGGGAACAAAGGAAGCTGGCTGAAAGCAGCATTCTCTCTCTCTCTCTCTCTCTCTCTCTCTCTCTCTCTCTCTCTCTCTCATTTTTGTTTTTTGATTTTTGAGACAGGGTTTCTCTGTGTAACAACTCAGTTCTCCTGGAACACACGCTCTAGACCAGGCTGACCTCAAACTCACAGAGATCTGCCTTCCTCTGCCTCCCAAGTTCTGGGATTAAAGGTTTGCACCACAGCTGCCTAGCCACTGTTTGTCTACTGTTTGTCTCTTGCACTTCCTTATATCTAGGCTGTCACCTAGAAGGTACTTGTATACTTTTGTTGGTTGTTTTTGCTCTTGCTCTTTTGGCTCTTTAGTCTTTTGATTTTTTTGAGGGGTTACCACCCATTTGTCGAATAAATCATACATGGAGGCTTATTCTTGTTTTGCTTGGCTTTTTTTTTTTGCCATCTTTTCTTAAATTATCTCATCTTTGGCCTTGTGGATTTTATCATTCTGTATTCCTGTATATCTTTTCTTTCCTTCATACTCCATGTCAGTCTGAGGAACAGGGTGGTTGGGTGGCTGGCCCCTGAAGTCCTCCTCTGTTTTCTCACATTCCCTCATCCCGCTTTCCCAAATTTCTCCTCATTTTTATCCTCTCTGCCTGACAGCCCCACCTATTCCTGTTTCCTGTCTCATTATTGGCCATTCACCTCTTTGTTAGACCATCAGGATTTTTAGACAGGCGCAGTAACACACCTTTACAAAATTAAACAAATGCAACATAAACAAAAGTAACACACCTTAAAATGATATTCCCCAACAATCACTCTGAGGGCTGAGGATGATGGACGTTGCCTCCATGGTTAATC